GTATGTCTTACGTACTCAATTTTTTTCTCAGTTAAAGTAGAGAAGGAGATCCACAAACTTGGCTTATTTATTTAACAAGATAATAATAATAATAATAATAATAATAATAATAATAATAATAATTAACATAAAATAAAATATTGATGAAGCCTAAAGTAGAGTTTATATCAGGTTAAACTTAAATGAGAGCGGCTTCAACTTGAAAATTATTTGATTTATTTTAAAAAAATTATTTAATACAGGCACATTTATATACACACCACCCAATTCCTATTTATTTGCATATCTACCACATGAACTTTGCACTTGTATTTTGATATCATTCAAATTGTACATATCAAATAAAAAATACACATTTTAATGCACAGGTGAGGCTGGTATGTATGTAAAGATTTTAAGTTTAGGTTTCATATATGTAAATAAAAGGAACTGGGTGGCATGCATGTAAATCTTCCTTTAATATAAATGCACATGTATGTAATCAATTTTTTTAAAAAATTTATTGAAAATAATTGAATTATTTGAATGTGTTATAAATAAATCATATTTATATAAAATAAAAAGAATAAGTTTAATTACATACTTTTATTTCAGTATTTAAATTTTTATTTTTATTTTTTTTTATTTTTTTTTTACATTTTACTTACATTTAGATGTAGATGGATAGGCAGTTTGTGGGAAAATAATTACGTGTGGCTGACTGTATTAGGGGTGTAAACGAGCCAAGTCGAGGTCGAGCTATCATCAGCTTGAGCTGGAGCTTGATTAACTTTATCGAACACGAGCTCCAACTTAAGTCTACGAGTTCCAAATGGCTTGTTTATAATAAAAGCGAGAAAATAATATTAAATTAGGGTGGTAATGTAATAAAATGACATAACTAGTAAATAATTAGAAAAGAAATAATAAGAAATCACTTAATATAAATTTTTTTGAATTTAATATATTTTGAATATATTTTATACTAAAATTTTTTAAAACAAGCCGACTCACGAGCTATCAAGTCGAGCGAAGCTGGCTTGAGCTTGTTAGCTTAGCAAGCTCAGTTCACAAGCCGCCTAACGAGCCGGCTTGACTCACTTACACTCATAGACCGCATATCCGGACGATGGTTTGAATGTTGTCATGCCGTCATGAATCGCACAACAACCCATCTGAGCCATCATCCAGACGTGTGATCACCGAACGTAATAATTTCTCCAATGAGGGAGAAGGGTTCACGATAACGGCTTGCTAAGTGAAAGCATCAATTGAATGACAACATGTGAAGAAAAGAAGGGTCCATGAGGACAGCAACTCCTTGAGAGAAAAAAATGTGAGATCGTCGAAATGTTAAAAGAAAAGAGAGGGAGTCACGATGGAAGATCATTGAGATTGAGTACACTAAAATATTTTACTTAAAACCTAAACCCTTGTATGAACCTAGATAGAAATGGGGTTCAAACAATGTTCAAATTTTGAGTTTGAGGCTTTTAAATTGAAACATTTTCGAGCCAATTTCCCGTCCTTCAACATAAATATATATTCAAAAAGAATGGCCAGAGGCCACTAACATGTCTAACAATTTGAGGCCACCTTCTTAAAGCCAACTGTGACAGAGAGAATTCGAACCACCAACTTGAGGGGTCTTATACCATGGATGTCAACCAATAGGTCGGGATATGTGGCACCACTGCTTCAATATATATATA